GAAAGATTTTTCCCTTTCCCCCACAAAATCCCTTATTTAAAGCACTCTGTTTATTCTGCTTCCAACATTACAATGTAATACTACCTACCTTTCTGACCAGCTGGCTTGTCTATTAATCTCTGTGCTCACTGGAATGGGATCTCCGGAAGGACAGTGGTTACATTTGCCTTTCCTATCACTGCATCCACAATGCCTAGCATTTGTTGAACAAATGCACAAAGCCAGTTTTACTCCGTCTCAAGCACTTTCTGCTTGCTTTCATTTCTGTGATACTGCGAATGTCCTTGCATTAGTTATTTTTTTTTTTTGTCACTGTGATAGACAGCATGACCAAAAAGCAGCTTGCAGAAGAGTTTATTTGGTCTTATAGTTCCAAAGGGAGAGTCCATAAAGGCAGAAAAGGCATGACAGCAGGTTGTAGGCAGTCAGATCAAGAAGCTAAGAGATAATGTCTTCAACCACATCAGAGTGGAAGTGGGGTGAGTCTATACACTCTCAAACTCTGCCCCCAGTGATGCACATCCCCCAGCAAGGCTGCTTCTCCTAACATTTCCATAACATAACATACAGCGCCACCAGTGGCAACCAAGTGTCTAAGTATATGTGCCTAATAGGGGGCATTCCCATTCAAACTACTATCGTCCTTCCTTCAAAATTAAGTTCAGAGCCAGGCAGGGAGGAGAAACCCTGTAATTTTGGCATTTGGGAACCTGAGGGAGGATTATGAGTTTAAAGCCAGCCTGGGGTACACAGTGAGATACTGCCTCAAAATATCAAAACTTAGCCGGGCGTTGGTGGCACACGCCTTTAATCCCAGCACTCGGGAGGCAGAGGCAGGTGGATCTCTGTGAGTTTGAGACCAGCCTGGTCTACAAGAGCTAGTTCCAGGACAGACTCCAAAGCCACAGAGGAACCCTGTCTCAAAACCTAGTAGGCTATATGGCCTCTACCTATAATCCCAGCAGTCAGTAGGCTATGGCAGGAGGTTTGCTATGAGTTTGAAGCCACCCTGGAATACAGTTTCAGCCCTGCCTGAATGGAGTACAGAGTGAAACCCTGTCTCAAAACAACTTCCACGAAAAGGAAAATAAAACAGCAATAAAATGAAAGTTCATAGAAATAAGTCAGTTCAAAGTTAGGGACAGTATACAACACCTGTTATAACACTTATGAAAGAGAGGCAGGAGAATTGTGAGTTCTAGGCCAGTCAGGGTTACATAGTGAATGGGATTACAGGAAACCCTGTTTACAAAACCAGGAAACCCTAAACCTAAATTCAAGACTCATTAGCTCAGAGCCCCTACTCATTATAGCCCCCATCCCCTGGTGCTGAGCCTTTGAGTCACTTACTCAGCACTCATAGATGGAGCCCCAAGGCAGTCTTGGCAGTAGGGGACACTACTCTGTCATGCTGTGCCTTGTTTGCTTTGTAATCCTAGTCATTCATGGGTGCAGGCATGTTTTATTCCTTAACTTACTCCTGGGTGGATATCACAGCACACTTCTCTATAATTCCTCTGAAGTGACTGGAAGTTAGGAAGACAGTGCATCTTGTCCCACCTCTAAGGAAATAAAAAGTTCACTTTCGGAACAGAATTCGAATTTTAAGGAGTTGTTCTGAAATTACAGGAAACTGAGACATATTCTTTTTTTTTTTTGGTTTTTTTGAGACAGGGTTTCTCTGTGGCTTTGGAGGCTGTCCTGGAACTAGCTCTTGTAGACCAGGCTGGTCTTGAACTCACAGAGATCCGCCTGGCTCTGTCTCCCGAGTGCTGGGATTAAAGGCGTGCGCCACCAACGCCCGGCCATATTCTTGACTTTATTGGAAAAAATGGTAACTCAGTGAGGCTTCAGAGATGGCTCAACTAGGAAGCGCACATACTGATCTACAAGAGGACCTGAATCTGCTTCCCAACAGCCACGGCCAGCAGCATATAACCACCTGGAACTCCAGATCCAAAGGCATCTGAGGCCCTTGGCCTCCACAGGCACCTGCAGTCACATACACATACCCCCACTCCAACCACAAACAACTAAAAATAACTAAAAAAAAAACAAAACAAACCAAGCCAGGCGTTGGTGGCACACACCTTTAATCCCAGCACTCGGGAGGCAGAGACAAAGTGATCTCTGTGAGTTTGAGGCCAGCTTGGTCTACAGAGTGAGTTCAGGACAGGCTTTAAAGCTACAGAGAAACCCTGTCTCAAAACACCATCTCAAAAAAAAAAATTAAAAACAACAACAACCAAAACCAAAACCACCCTTCCCCCAACAGCTCACAGAATTCCTCTGTATCAAATAGCATCTATTTTATATTTGTGGAAGAATTCACAGAAGAAATACTAACATGTAAACAATCTGAGGTTAGATTACAACTTCTGTCAAAAAATACACTGATAGAATTTATCATTTTCTGAAATTTTGTTTTCTTGCTTTAAAGAAAATAGCAATGGACAAACATGGAATATTGACTGATTGCAGTATTTGCCTCTCCCCAAACAACTAACAGATCAGGCTCTACATGTCAACTTCATTCCCTACAAAACAGTCTGCTACAGGAGTTGGAAAAATGAGTTATTTTGTATATTTAAACCAGACAAAGGTCTGAGAACTTAACCACAGTTTTATAACTTTGATCAGGAATAACTAACATTTTTCTCTTTTAAAAAATTAAAGAAAAAATTAGACTTGTTTTATATATGTGGGTGTTTTTCTGCATGTATGTATGAGTACCATGTGCATGTCTGGTGCTTGTGGAGTTCAGAATGGTTGTGAGCCACCATGAAGTTAGGTACAGAGAATTGAACCCGGGTCCTCTGCAAAGCAACAAGTGCTCTTAACTGTTGAGCCAACTCTCCAGCCACATTTCTTTTTCCTTCAGAAACTAAGTTTAATATGAAAAAATACTTTCAACATTCTGAAAACCTTCATATATCTGGTTGAGGGAAGGAACAGGAAATATGTGTGAATTCATGTCAGAAATACATTCATTTACTTATTGTTTTCTGAGAGAGGATTTTACTTGAACTTACTTATGTAGCTAAGGCTAGCCTTAAACTCATGATCTTCCTGCCTTAGCCTTCCAAGGGCTGTTATTGCAGATGAGGACCACCACATCTTGTTAGATGGCAATGCATTTTTTTTTTTTTTTTGGTTTTTCGAGACAGGGTTTCTCTGTGTAGCTTTGGAGCCTACCCTGGCACTCGCGCTGGAGACCAGGCTGGCCTTGAACTCACAGAGATCCACCTGCCTCTGTCTCCCGAGTGTTGGGATTAAAGGCGTGAGCCACCAAGGCCCGGCTGGCAATACATTTTAAAATGATAGATTGGTACTATTTGAAAAGTGTAGTTATATGAATTTTACACAGAATCCTCATTTGATTACATTAAATAAAAAACAAAAAAACAAAAAAAGCCTCTCCAGTGGGTGATTAGCCTAAAGGATTTTTATTTCATGCTATTTTGGGGGTATATATATGTGTCATATGTTCTATCTATCCTTTTCTAGGCAACTAGGACATCTTGTGAGAATAACGAAGATGACTGAATAATTTATTTTCAGATTGGGCTTACAAAGCAAGTTAAAAAGGCAGATAATTGAGGCCGCTGGAACTGTGCATGACTTGAGTCAGGATGTCAGTGCATCATTAAGAAGTCATGGGGGTAAACTCCCTTCTTGAAATAGAAGCTTCAAAGGTTGGGGTGCTTGATGTTTCAATAAAGAATGAGGGTTCTAGAGATGAGCATTGCAGTGCACACTTGCAATATCCACTGTCTGGGAGTCTAGGCAGGAAGATCATGACTCTGAAGGCAGCCTGGACTTTGTAGCAAGATCATTTGGGAAAAAATAACCCAAAAAGTTTTCATTTGGGGTTTTTGTTAAGGCCTAACCTACATGGTGGTTTGTGCTCTCCAAAGGCAGCAAAGCTATGAGTTTAAGAAGTCTGTGTGGAGAAGCCACAGGTCCAAGTGAGAGAAACTTGGCTTCCTCCACCTGGACTCTTGTAGCTGGGCTCCTGACATGTGTCTGCTCTGCTACTTGAGTTACAAGGTGCTCTGAAGTGTTGTGGCAATGTTGCCTCCCAGGGTGTTTTTCCTCAGAGGGTAAACTGTACATCTGATTGCCACTAGCCTTCCTTATAAAGTCTGGTGGAGTGCCATTGTGACAGAGAAGTGTCAGAAAAGCTTTTCAAGGTACAGGTATTCACAGGGAAAATTTGGGGTTCTGAGGTAATGTATGGCCTAGTGGTCTCATTTCCAAGAACAGCAGACAGAAATACCCTCTCATTCCTCCTGATGTTCACAGGTAACAGGCCATGTTCATCTGTGACTGCTCCAAGTCTTCTACCGGTGAAGTTCCAGCAGCTTTACAGAGTTGGTTTTTTAGATTCCAGTTCTGGGTTTGAAAAACTTCTTTAATTCCCGTAACTCCTGGGGCTTCAAACTTTGGTCCACCCCTGGAGTCAGTTTATAGGTCAGTGGGGACAGGATGTAACCATTTTGATAAAGAAAAATTCTCTTACAGAACTCAAACATGCTAAACATAACTCCAAAATATGGAACTACCTGTTAAACAGAAAAGGAAAATTGTGTTAAATTATTTTTGAAAAAAAATATGTACTTTTATTTATGTATCTGTGTGTCTGTATGGGGGAGGGCACCCATGGGGTCCAGAAGAGGATATTGGATTCCTAGGAGATGCAATTATGTAGGGGAGTGAGCCTCTCAACATGGGTGCAGGGAACTGAACTCAGGTTCTCTGGAAGAGCAGGGAACACTCTAGTCTACATGTTAAATAACTTTTTAAATTAAAAATTAATTTTAGTTTTGGTTTTGGAGACAGGGTTCCTCTGTGTAACAGTCCTAGCCATCCTGGAACTCACTCTGTAGATCAGGCTGTCCTGGAACTTACAGTGATCTATCTGCCTCTGCCTCTTTAGTGCTGGGATTTAAAGGTGTGTGCTATCACTGCCCAGCTAATTTTTATATTTTTTATTGGTGTGCACTAGGAAGTATGTGGAGCAATACTCTGTATTCAATCATTTCCTTTTAGCCAATTTAAATATCCCAAAGTTTAATGAACAGAACAGGGAAGCTGCCCTGAACTGAACTCAACAGTTCGGAGCCATGCATTAAATTATTAAGAAAAGGGGCTGGAGAGATGGCTCAGAGGTTAAGAGCACCGACTGCTCTTCCAGAGATCCTGAGTTCAATTCCCAGCAACCACATGGTGGCTCACAACCATCCGTTATGAGATCTGGTGCCCTCTTCTAATGTGCAGATATACATGGAAGCAAAATGTTGAATACATAATAAATAAAGAAATAAAATCTAAAAAAATTATTAAGAAAAGGTGCTTCTGGAGTAAAGTTACACCAGGCTAAACTAAGATAATAGCACTCGGGAGGCAGAAGCAGGAGGATCTCTGTGAGTTCGAGACCAGCCTGGTCTACAAGGCTAGTTCCAGGACAGCTTCCAAAGCCACAGAGAAACCCTGTCTCCAAAAAAACAAAACAAAATAGATAATAGTTGTGGGCAGTACTACATGGTAATTCTTTTGGGAATCAGAGGATATAGAGAAAGGAAAACTGGTACAGTGTGGGAGGGGAAGAAGGATGTGGCAGCAACTGAAGGCCATGCCCTGGGCAATCATTGTCTCTACATTAATATGAATGTAGTTGATCTGCTCATCACTGTATGCTTGTCTTGATTGGATATTTACATGTGAACTAGCTAGTCCAGAGTTTTGTTTTGTTTTATTTTTCGAGACAGGGTTTCTCTGTAACTTTTGGAGGCTGTACTGGAACTAGCTCTTGTAGACCAGGCTGGCCTCTAACTCACAGAGATCTGCCTGCCTCTGCCTCCCGAGGGCTGGGATTAAAGGCGTGCGCCACCATCGCCCCCAGCCCTTGTTCTCAATTCTGGTGATGGAAGTCTATTGAAATATGATGCCCCCGGGCGTTAGTGACATACGCCTTTAATCCCAGCACTGGGGAGGCAGAGGCAGGGGGGGCTCT